TTAGAGAGACATTTTCCTTTCCCCTGCTACCTCGTGTTCTGTAAACAAGTACTTTAAAGTCCTTATTGAAAGCCACAGAAATTCTTTGCTCTTGTTTTGAAATCTAACCCCCTGGTATACTTTGGAGGATTTAACGTGTAAAGTTCCCAGTGTTAGTTTGCTCTGCTAGCTCAGCCTAAAGAGATGTTAAGGATAATAAACTTAAAATAACCTCTAGTTCCTCAGGAGGCCGCATAACTTAAAGTAAAATATTCTGAGCTGAAGTTTGGAGTGACCTTAACTCTTGCTGAAGTAGAAGCGGTCTTCGCTTTTCCCTTTCCATTACTCACGCAATTTTTGAGGCTGTTTGTGGTCAAACCCTGACTGACGGTGATGTGGGAGGAAAGTGTCAGCCCCAGCTCAGGCTCTTGTCCCTGTCCCCCCCTCCCTTTTTTGACGGGCCCGAGGTGTCCGGCGGCAGAGAGCTTTTCTGCAGCGCTGTGAGAAGCCCTGGCGTTGTGCTCGCCTTAGTTGTGTGTCTGCACACCCACAGCAATCAATAATCCTCTGTTGGGTTGTAGCTTCGGTGCAGACCTCCCCTACACCTTGCTCGCACAACCTTCTTAAAAAAAAATAATTAAAAAATACATATTTCAAGGTGATAAGATGTTCAGTGATGAGGGCTCGGCAGGACTCAAAAATCTTTCTTCTCTAACACGTTCTTTTCAAATCCTCTTGTAGTATATTACATCAAGCAACAACAACACCCCCATCCAAGGATTTTATATCTATTACCGGCCCACGGACAGCGACAACGATAGTGACTACAAGAGGGACGTCGTGGAAGGTACGGCGCGGTAGACGCGTGCTTAATAGCACCGCTCGCCGGGGAAGAACATCGTGTAGCCACGTTGGCTGTGTTTATACAAAATATAAACTGCTTTTCCCAAACGAAGTCTTCACGATATATTTCACCGCAGTAGCTCTCTCAACGTCAAGTTCTGCCCACACATGAGCTGGTTTCTTCCTTCTGAAGCCTCTTCTGCGTGGAAACTTGAGAGCTGAACGCCGGGTTGGGGTTTGGCTCGTGGGGCTGCTGCGAATCCCCCGGGTAGGTCTGAAACTGGTTGTAGGTGAAAGCAGCCGAGTAAAGAGACGGCGGCGTCAATGAGATTTAACCCCGGGTAAGCGCATCGGTGTTGCGGAGTGTGGGTAACGTTAGCTGGCTTTGAGGACGATTTACCCCAGCACGGATTCCCTGAGCCGGGCAGTACCTCGTGTGTAACTGCCCTGCGCTCCTTTTCCCTTGCTCAGTCGCTCCTCCTGCTAGAAGGAAGTTACTTTTAGCCTCAAGCGCTGTAGTACGCTGCAAATGCAGGTATGTTTGTGCTGCATTTTGCCTTTTAATCAGGTTATTTTTTTTCTCCCTGTGCATATTAGATCATCGTTTTCCTGGAAGAAGTTATTAGATAATGTCTATATTAGTCCAGAAGTGGAAAACCTTTTTAAAAACACTTTACTTAATGTCCTTATTGCTCGGGCTGAGTAAACGCAGTGATCTCATTCTGTCTCGATGACGTTAATTATTTTTTCCCCTCGTTTATTTCAGTTACAAGAGGAATGGGCCTTTATTTTGAAAATTTTCCCCGGCTAGACAATACCCCGCACAGTACTTTGATGCGTGACATCAGCTTTTGCACGCTATAAAGCTGTTAAAAATCCAGAGTTTCGGCTCGGAGGATTGCTTTAAAGCAGCTCGTGCGGTCTGCACCTTCGTCTGCAGATGTCTTTTAGCCTTTGCGAGGCAGAGCTGGTGTGTTTATAAATCTCATACACTGAGCAGTTAGTTGTTTAAGTGGGCTCCACTGTGCTGTGAAATTAGCTTGTTTCTGATTTTTTTTTTTTCTTTTTCCGAGAGACTCCGTGTGCGCGCGTGCGCGTGTCTGTGTGTGTGTATTGAACTCTTTGTGGCAGTCTGAAACCATTAGCAGCTGCTCTGCTCTGCCCAAGCCGGGAACAGAAACTCATTGGGTGGAAATATTTAAACTTAAACTTTTCTTTACCATGCACCCCTAAATTAGCTTTTTTCGGGGGGGGAAGAGAGAGCTATTTTCAATTAAAGTATGATTGGAAGTATTTGATGAGAAATATGTAGAGAAACGTGTGACTTCAGGGGGTTTTTTTGCCATAAATCACTTGTTCTTCACTTTTCCCCCTTCTGTTACCTTTGAATTAATCTGTCTGTTTCTTGACAGGGAATTTTATCTTGAAATGACTGCGTGAGTTGTGGAAGAAGTGTTGTGATGCCTGTATTAGCTAAGTACTTGCCGTAGGCTTTCCTTACCATTTCCTGTTAAGTCTTGTCTTCTGAGACATTCAAAACTCTGCAGAAAACTTCCCCCCCCCCCTTTATAAATGCCGCTACAGGCAAAATCACATTTTATTTAAAGAAAAAAACAAGTAAAAAAGCTTGACTCAGATGGCTCCTCGGTGTTTTTCAGCAGCTTGAAGCAAAACCAGCTCCGTCCCGCGTTGATGGTCTGGTTTTCTGTGTTTTGATGGTCTGGATTTCTCCGTTTCGAGGGTCCTGGAGATTGAATTTTAACTGTAAATGCAGTCTGATGTCAGTTGTTTAAATGTTTTTCCTTGCTAATGGTGCACGAAGAGGACAGTTAAAGTGCCTGTACTGATTCCAGTTCCACTAATGGTTTGAAGCGGAAACCCAAAACCTGGTGTAGTAATTACCGAAAGGAATGCTTGGGGGTGGGGGCGACGGGAAAACCGAGCATGAATCTTGGGAAAACGTGCGGTTTAGGGAAAGGCCGGTTCCAGCTTCAGCCAGGGCTTGTCTGCCCTCGCTTGGGACGCGCGGCGTGCGAGGGACGGAGCTCAGCCCCTGCAGCGCATCCCCTCCCCAGACCCCCGAAGCGAGACGGGGTCCTCCTGGGTACCCCCTGCTCTTTTTTAGCTGGCCAGGGGTCCCAGAGAAGTTCGACCAGAGGCCTGATGACAGCCCCCACCGGCCGAGCAAGCTTTATTTTTTTTTTATTAATGCTTAAATCAGTAGGTGGTATGACAGTTTCTTAGAAACAGTGGAAACAGTTCAAGGTGGTATTTTCCAAGAGGGATTAAGAGCACTCAAACAGTTAATTAAACTCCCTTTAAAAAAAAAAAAAACACGGGGGAGGGGGGAGAAAAAAAGGGTCGCTGTTTATTAAAATTTGTCACAAGCCCGCGAAAGTAAAACCGGAGAGTGATTTATATCGAAGTGCTCAGGACTTCAGGAGGGTGTCTAAATGAAATGCTGGCCGGGAGCCAGAGATGACAAAACCATCCTATTAGAGAAGATTGCTTGGCTTGGGACCCGTCTCTGCAGGGGCAGGCAGTGCAGGAGACAGCCTCGCTGCCTAATTTTTGTTTCCTGGTACGTTTAATAAAACACAGGTTCAATTATTTGCGGTTTCGGCGAAGTTGAGCAACCCAGAAGGATCCTTCCCGTGAAAAAAGAGCGGCTTCGGTCGGTACCTCGCGTCTCTAGGGATCCTGCCGGGTTGCAGACTGGGAGAGGGTCTTCTCACGGTGAAGTTCCGCCCCTGTCCCAAGTTTAATCTGTTTTCTGTGCTGCTTTTACCGTGGCGTTTTTCCTGCGTGAGTCGCTAGCGTAACCCATCCTCAGCGTGGCCCTTGAGCCGTTTCGTATGGAGGATGCACAGAACCGCTGTAGAGATGCTGGAAACTCAGATGTCAAGTTTTTGAGTTTAACAGCGTCTAGTTTTTGTAGAGAAAGATGTTTTTTTAAAAACACAGTTGAAAATACTGAAAAAAAAACAACCAACTTCTTTTCTTCAAAAGGTTCTTCTAAGAATCTGCTTTGCAAGAAAACATGAGCTGTCTTGTGTCCGAGAAGTCTGTGAATTGTTACTCAAGACTTTTGTGCTCACAGGAGGAGCTGCGATATCCCGGCGTTTTATAGAGAAAGACCTAATTCTGGCTCACGCGAGTAAATGATTTTAATGATTTTATTCTTCCTCCCCCCACAGGCACGAAGCAATGGCACCTGATAAACCACCTGCAGCCGGAAACCTCTTACGACATCAAAATGCAGTGCTACAACGAAGGCGGCGAAAGCGAGTACAGCAACGTGATGATCTGCGAAACCAAAGGTGAGCGCCGCAGCCGCGCGTCTCCTCGCCCGCCGAGGCCGCGTTCTGTGGCGTGAAACGGCCGCTGTGTTGGGTTTTTATTTCGTTTTCTTTTTCGCGGCGCGCAAGTCGGCTGCGACGGAGACCGTAATTTGCTGGAATGTTTCGGGGGATTGTTTTGTCTTCCGAAGCTGGGGTTGTTTTGAACATATGGAAACTGATAGGTTGCGCTCCGGAGGAAGGCTCTTAGCGAAGCTCTGCAGATTTGCCAGGCCCAAGAGATAGTATTGTTGTTCTGGGTTGGGTTTTTTTTCCCCTGCTGCGCTGATAGCCGCTCCTTAGCAGACAACGGCGCTCTTGAAGACGACAGAATTGATCTGTACGTCTGTTTTGTGTCTTCGGGGCTCTGTGACACGCTGTAGAAGTGCAGACCGAAGCAGTTGAGGGTTGTGTTGGCTGCCTCCTTCGCTGATCCTGCCTGCCTCTGGCACGGAGTCTGTGCTGTTCTCTGGAAGTGTCAGATATGGCAGTCACATTTACTTTGCGAAGAATTCCTGTCTCCTTTAATCTCTAAAACCAAGTAAGGCTGTAAAGGGAAAATGCAGACAGTAAACTTCAAATGCAGTGCTATGAAAAAATGTGGATTTTTTTAAAAAAAATGAGAAAAAAGCCCTCCAGGAGCGGAAGCATCAAAATTTAGCTACGTTCGCAGCGAAGCCTTTGAAAGAAGGGCTGGGTGCTGTGGGGTTTCGGGCTGCACACACAGTTGGTCTTCCCCCTGTGAGGAATACCGCTTTCTTCCCTAATTTTAAAATTGGCGAGGTGTAATTGTCTTTCATACTGACGACTCCTCCTGAAAACACATCTGCTCCAGGCTTACGGATCGCTTGGCTGAGGTATCTGCGTGGAGGTGTTTGTGCCTCTGACCAGCATCACTCCTAAGCCAGGCACCTCTTGTAGGTGTTTTAGCCTCAAATGAAATGAATCTGAGCTGCGGTGTGCTGAAAACGAATGCGAATTGAATTCCTGGCTTAAACTAGCATCTCGTTTTCAGTGATTTTTCGTTCGGCTCCGAGTGTCTTAAACAGCATGGGTTTTGAAAACGGGGTTAGCAGGGTTCACGTCAGATAGAAGTAGGTCGTCTGGCAGCGGTTAGGCGATAGAAATGCGCGTTGTGGTTTGTCCTGACCTCAGAAGTGGAAAGATTTGCGCTCTTTCGAGTCGGGAGTTAGGGCAGCTCTAGCCATGCGTGTGTCGAGTTGCTCGTTAAAGTTGCGAGTGACCTCAACGAGAGGGTGAGCGAGCTGGATAATAACCATTTTCCAAGGCAAATAGTTATTACCCAATAGTAGTTGGCCTTCTCGTTATAGGTTTTAATATTGACTTGGAAGCTTTCTCTTCGAGGCATTAGGATTCTAACTCAGCGGTGGTTATTTTCATTTCATAATGAGAAAACACCCTGAGAGAAGGCATTTAGCGAACGTACCCGTGCTTGTCTCTTCCTCCACCCAGTGAAACGCACGCCGGGAGCATCCGAATATCCCGCCAAGGACCTGAGCACGCCGCCGAATCCCCCCGACCGCGTTGGGGGAAGCGGAGCCGGGCCCTCGAATGGCCCCGTCCGGAGCAGCGACATGCTCTACCTGATCGTGGGCTGCGTCCTTGGGGTGATGGTCCTTATTCTCATCGTTTTCATCGCCATGTGCCTGTGGAAGAACCGTCAGCAGAACGCCATGCAGAGTGAGTTATTTCTGGTTTCCTTGCACGACGAAAATATGATCAGAGTAAAATCAGTAACGTTCATATCGCGTTTTATGAATGGGAAGCGGTTTCCTGTTATAAGCCAGCCAGCGTTTATTTAGAGACTCGTACTTTCTAGCTGTGCCTTGGGTGAAGATTTGGGGTTTTTAGGAGCAGCAGCGTCTCCATTTCTTTGCCTCGATGCTCGCTGCCCTGCCGCACTGCCATGCGGTTGCGCCGCAGTTTCGCCCACAGAACGGCGTGTGAAATGCCTGGGCAGGGTTTCTTCAGCTTATGTGTGGCTTTAAGCACCTGCCTGGGTTTCTGCTGTGTGTAATGGGAAGTACTTGTGAGAACGTGGGGGCTTCAACCCCAGATCTCTCCCTCTCTCGTGTGCATCTGGAAAGAAAAAGAGCTTGCAGCACTTGGCGGGCAAGTCACAGAATCACAGAATAGCAGGGGTTGGAAGGGACCTCTGTGGGTCACCTAGCCCAACCCCCTGCCCAAGCAGGGTCACCCAGAGCAGGCTGCACAGGACCTTGTCCAGGCAGGGCTGGAATATCTCCAGAGAA